TAGTATTGGAAGTCCCAGCCACAGCAATCAGGCAAGATAAAGAAAGAGAAGGGAGTCAAACTGGAAGGGAAGTGGTAAAAGTATCACTATATGCAGATGACATTATACTATATATAGAGAACCCTAAACACTCTACACAAAACCTATTAGAACTGATAAACAAATCTAGCAAGGTAGCAGGATACAAGATTAACTCACAGAAACCTGTTACATTTCTTTACAATAACAACAAAATATCAGAAAATATCAGAATATCAGAAATATCAGAAAAAGGAAAGTAAAAAAACAAAATCCCTTTTAAAATTACATCAAAAAATACTTAGGAACAAACCTGACCAAGGGGCAAAAGACTTATATTCTGAGAACTATAAAACATTCATAAGGAAATTAAACATGATTTAAATAAATACAAAGGTATCCCATGCTGTCAGATTGGAAGAACTAACATTTTTTTAATAGCCAATCTACAGATGTAATGCGATCCCTATCAAATTACTTATGACGTTTTTCACAGAACTACAACAAATAATCCTAAAATCTATAAGGAACCACAAAAGACCCAGAATTTCTAAAGCAATTATGAAGAAAAAGAACAAAGCTGGAGGCATAACCCATCCAGACTTCAAGCAACACTACAAAGCTACAATAATCAAAACAATGTGGTATTGGCACAAAAACTAACACATGGCTCAATGGTACAGAATAGAGAGCCCAGAAATAAACCCACAGGCCTATGGTCAATTAATCTTTGACAAAGGAGGCAAGAATATACAATGGAGAAAAAACAAGTCTCTTCAACAAGTGGTGATGGGAAACCTGGACAGCCTCATGTAAATCAATGAAGTTAGAACACATCTTCATACCATATACAAAATAAACTCATGGCTTAAGGACTTTAGGACATGACACCATAAAACTCCTAGAAGAAAACACAGGTAAAACATTTTCTGACAAAAATCATAGCAATGTTCTCTAGGGCAGTCTCCCTAGGCAATAGAAATAAAAGCAAAAATAAACCAATGAGACCTAATCAAACTTATAAGCTTCTGCACAGCAAAGGAAACCATAAACAAAATGAAAAGACAACCTAAGAATGAGAGTAAATATTTGGAAATGATGCAACTGACAAGGGCTTATTTCCATAATATACAAACAGCCCATCAACTCAATAACAAAAACAGCAAACAACTCAGTCCAAAAGATGAGCAGGAGACATAAACAGACATTTCTCCAAAGAAGACATACAGATGGCCATGAAAAAATGCTCAATATTGCTAATTATCAGAGAAGTGCAAATCAAAACTACAATGAGGTATCTCACCTCACACCGGTCAGAATGGCCATCACGAAAATGTCTCCAAACAATAAATGCTGCAGAGGATGTGGAGAAAAAGGAACTCCCCCTACATTGTTGGTGGGAGTGTAATTTGGTGCAGACACTATGGAAATAAGTATGGAGATTCTTAAAAAAACTGAAAATAGACTTACCACATGATCCAGCAATCCCACTCCTGGGCATATATCTGAAGAAAACTCTACTTCAAAAAGGTAACATGCACCCCAATGTTCATAACAGCACTATTTACAATAGCCAAGACATGGAAGCAACCTAAGTGTCCCTCAACAGGTAACAGTATAAAAAAGACATATATATAATGGACTACTACTCAGCCATAAAAAATAATGAAATACTGCCATTTGCAGCAACACAGATGGACCTACAGATGATCATCCTCAGTGAAGTAAGTCACACAGAAAGACAAATATTATATGATATCACTTATATGTGGAATCTAAAAAATGACACAAATGTGATTATTTACAAAACAGAAGCAGCCTCACAGACATAGAAAACAAATTTACGGTTACCAAAGGGGAAAGGGGGTGGGGAGGGATAAATTAGGAGTCAGGGATTAATGATACAAGCTAATATAATATAAAACAGATAATAACAAGGCCCTAATGTATAGCAAAAGAACTACATTTAACATCTTGTAATAACTTATAATGAAAAAGAATATATATATATAAAAAATACTGAATCACTACGCTGTATACCAGAAATTAACACAATATTGTCAATTAACTAAACTTCAATTTTTAAAAAAGGTGTAGATTGCCAGCCAAGCTTTCCTTCGTTGGGTTGCTTAATGGCTAACTAGACTACAACCCGCGTCTGTCAGATCTAGATTCTGCCTGTAATCTCTCCCTGTGTAAAAGAAATCAGATTTCAAGAAAAAGACTCTTTGTACCCTAAATTTGTCAAGAAACTTTTGTCAAGAATATAGTTCCATTATGTACTTATACCACAGCAGCAGAATAAATTCAATGCACTCTGATTTGGTATTCTGTGGAACAAAATTTGTAGCAGAATAAAGGAATGAAAAGATACTGCTTTTGATGGCTTTTAATTGGACTTTGTGCAGGCGTCATTTAAACTGTAGTTCCTTTGACAAAATGATTTTCCTTCTGGTTTCTCCTAGTTCTCTGCCTCTACAGATTATCATTCTCAGTGCACATATTTCAAATGGCAGAGCCATCCACCAAGAGCCCCAGAGTAGAAATAAGTCTGTCAATGCATGGTTCCAGATAACCATCTTAGTAGCAGCTAATGCCACAGCTACTATGAAATTCAACATGGAAAGCCTAGACTTTGGTGCCACACAGACTCAGGTTCAAGTCTCAGATCTATTATCTTATTAACTCCAAGACATAATGAATGCAAAGCACTTGCCTCAATGCCTAGTACATAGTAGATACTCAATAAATAGAAGCTGTTATTACATTAAAATTAATTTAAAGCACAAAAGGGAAAGCCAGATCCCAGACAGCTCCTCACTTCAAAGGCATGAATTCCAGCTTCCTGTCAAATGCAAATACCTCTGTCATTTCTAATGAGTATCTGGAGCGATGAACTTGCCTAAAACTCTTACTAGTAAAAGAAACTGACATTTTACACGTCAGTGTCTTGGGTTTCAACTCTCTCTTTCATTATTATCCTTCACGAAGTGATCTGAAAGGTAACATTAATAAATAGAAACTGTAGATTTCTGGTCTTACCATTTTTGTCTGCTCTCCTCAGTATCTGGAAAAGAAAAAGGAAATATTTTATCACCACTTCTGTAAGTATTGCAGTGAACATTATACTCACACATAATTCATCCATTATTAAATAAAAGAAATCCCAATTTAAAACAAATATTTCTCAATTGAAATCCTTCCTTATAATAGTCAAAAATTAAAAACTCAAATGTCCATAAACAAGCAAATGAACAAAAAAGCCGTGGTTTATCTATACAGTGAATTACTACAAGCATTAAAAAGGAATGAGTTCTTGATGCATGCAATAACTTGGATGGATCTCCAAGTGATTATGCTGAGTAAAAAAAATCTAGATACAAATGAAGATGTATTATTCCATTTATGTAAAATTCTAGAAAATGCAAAAAGAAACTGAAAGCAGGTTAAGGGTTGTGTAATAAGCCGGGCAGGGCGGGCTGGATTACAAGAGGGCGTGAGGAAACTGTTCAGGGTGGTAGACATTTATTTTCTTGATTATGATAAAAGATTCATAGATGTCTAAATATGCAAAAACTCATTAACGTTTCACTTTAAATATGTGCTATTTAGTGTAAGTCAATTATGTAATAAAACAGAATAAACAGAAACAAAAATACTGAATTGCGGATAAATAGGCGCTCATGTAGCTATACTGTATGTTACTTTACTTCTATGAGTTAATTATATTATCTGGAACTATTGTAACTTGTCTTTGATGGATGTGAACCGCCTGACCATCCAGCATCCAGTATTAGAAAGACTTTCAATTTTCTTTTGAAAAACCAATCTTTCCTCCACTCTTGGCCGACGTGCTCCAGGGTCAGGCAGGGCACTCAAGCCTGGTAAACAGGGTCGCACCCCTCTGGCCACAGTGACTACTCAGGCTTCAGCACAACAAGGCCAATGAAGCCATGGTTTTGTTTCAGTTGTGAAGAGAGGCACACTTTCTTTTCTGTTGACTTTGAATCTAGGAAGATACAGGCAAGGAGCTGCTGTCAGCCTTTTTGAAATTGTGTGTGTCATGGGCTGAACTGTGTTGCCACAAAACAAATGTTGAAGTCCTAATCCTTAGTAACTGTGAATGTGACCTTGTTTGGAAGTAAGATCTTTGTTGTAATGAAACTAAGATGAGATCTTACTGGATTGGGCCCTAAATTCAATGACTGGGTGACTTTATAAGAAGAGCAAGTCAGAGATGCGGAGACACAGAGAAGAAAGCTATGCGATGAGACAGGCAGATATTGGACTAATACAGCTGCAAACCAAAGAACGTCAAAGGCTGGTGGCCACCACTAGAAGTTAGGAGACAGGCGTGGGACAGAGCGCCCCTAGAACCTTCAAAGGGAGTATGCTCCAATCCATGCCTTGATTTCACCCCTCTAGGGGTGAGAAACCGAGAAAATAAATTTTGCTGTTTAGACCACCCTTTGCCTAGCGCTCTATTATGGAAGCCCTAGGAAATTAATATAATACACAACCTGGAAATAACCAACACTCAAGAAAGGAGTATCCAGAGACTGAGAGAAAAAATCTGGACAATATAATATACAACTATGTTATACACACTACCAAAGAAAATATCCCTTTATCATACTGCAAAGACAAGCTTTCATCAAGTGAAAAGGGCACTTAAGGATCATTTTTCCTGAGTAGCTGACAGTTATGGTTAAGTAACAAGAGCTACTCTCCTTTTTAGATCACCACTTCTTAGCGGCCAGCTTGAAATACGAGCAATACTTTTTATCACCAAAGGTTTCCATTTTATTGCCTTCCACTAGAGAAACATGACCCTCCTTTCCTTCTGTTGATTTCATGGAGATGAAGTATGGATAAATCTAATCATTATTACAATGTTTCTATCATAAAATACTAATTTTATTACTAAAAATCTCTCCCCTGAAGAATTTCCAGCAGCAGATAGGTATGTATCACCCTGACTTGAGTGCATAGAAGTTGGTGCCCTTTTTTTGAACCAAATTTATTTAATATTGCAGGAAGACTGCTTTCAATAGTAAGAGCTTCTATGTTTAGAACTAAATGAGACCAAGATTCTTTTTCATAATACAAAAGGAATTTCTAGTGGGAATTTTGGGACTCCACCTCCATATCATAACCAGCTTCTTCCTGTCCTCCTCTGAAACTTGAAGCCACAGAGTCAGGGAGACACAAAACAGATTATTCCTTTCCTTTGATATACCCCAAGATTCTGTTTCGAGCTCTATTGTGGCCTTATGAGTTTGAAGTGATTAGAATAAGAATAACCAGACACCAGATACTTTGACCTAGGACTTCTATAATTTCATTTCATAAAGAACAATCTTAAACAGCATTCAGCCTCGTATAGGAAAAATTAAGATAGTCGCTCCTATCATTAAGACAGTTCTTTGCAAATGAATATGAGAAGTGTCCCTGCTGTGAATTTTGCCTCTGAGCCCTCAGACTAATAAAAAATGTACTCCCTATGAGAAATGAGTTCATTATGTCATGCTAACATAGTAATCTGAGCCAGCCAATCTTACTGGCTGCCGTCACAAGATAGTAGATTAACGTATCACAGTCAGACTTAAAGCTTAAATGCAGGTGATGCTGTGTTTTTGCAACAATTTAAGGATCATCAAATAGCCTCCTTTACCCTGAAAGCTATTCTTTAATGACTTGACTGAAATTCTTCACTTTTCACTCTATGTTATTAAAGGCAGGCTTTAAAATGCAAATGTTATCTTGGAGGCATAAAATACAATCACCATTCACTGAACTAATATTTAATATTTGCTTGGTGCCTCCTCTCATGATCCAGGTTAAAATTAGATAATGAGGTGAGCCATCAGTCACTTTAGTGGACTCCTGAGACACTGGGAAACAGGGCAGGGAGTAGGGACTCATTCAGAACATGCAGTACCACCCAGAAGGGGAGACCTAGAAGGTGAGTCATCGTGTGCAGGCCTGGGCATCTAGCAGGCGGTTTTGCTACAAGAGGATTAGTCACCATGAGGAAGGATGCAGGTAAGTGGGCACTGAGATGCATGAAGAAAAGGTAATCAGTACATACATTTCTCTCTTCTCAGTTTTGCCTAGTGTAGGCCATGCAGGAAAATACATTTATCATGTCACAGTAAAACTAAGTTTTCTTTATTTCTGCTGGTTCCTGAAACTAGTAGAGTGACATTTGTCTTGCCTATTAAAGTAGACGATGGGTTAACTTCCAGTCTTCCAGCTGGACAATCTCAAATAGTCAATTATGTGTGTTCATTAATCTCATTCAAATCAACAACTGTGCACTAGGCGAGATGGGAGACGTAACTGTAACAGAATTCAGACACAGAACCACTGCACCTGGAGAAACTGCTGCTGCCCTGACAGCCCTCTTCTGATCGCACCTTTCACATAGATGAGTTTATACAAGG